GCGGGGGCATGGGTTGAATTAGTATAGTGATAAAATCACATCTTCAAATGTTCTCATTTCGATTAAAACCAATTCTGATGAAAACCGATTTCAGAAACTTAACTTTGAAAGCGTACGTTTATGAAGTGAATGCAATGGGCAAGTAAAGATTCAGTTTGCAGTATATAAATGGAAGGAAGTAAATGCAAACCAGAGAACACGCTAATTTATAGTGGTTCGATCATCGTGACCTACATTCACTCCGTCGATTCCTCTTCCGTCGAGACCATCGGCATCTACTATCGATCTTCCTTTAGGTAAAGATCAACCTCCTTCTTACACCCCTCTTCTCCTTTTCACAGGTTTAGGAGACAACCCTTACAAGCACTCACTCCTCTCTTACAGAATTCTAAACTTAGAGTCGATGAGGGAATTTCTAAAGAGATTGCAGCAGTGTTTCTTCACTTTTAAACTCTTTGTGCTTATGTTCTTTAACCAGGGATGAGAGGGGTATTTATAGGCTTTAAGTTGATTCAAACTTGGAGCCTAAAAATATCTCATCCCGGGTTTCTCGGGCACGGGTAGTACCACCGCCTGCGTTGGGCAGTACCACCGCCTATGTTGGGCGGTACCACCGCTAGTGTCAGTCTGACACTGACACTGACACTGCACTGGGTGGTTCCACCGCTTGGGGGGTTATGCTAGGCGGTACCACCGCCTGGCACCTTGCTAGGGGCGGTACAATTACCTAGACTAGCGGTACCACCACCTGACATAATCTCGGAGACTATGCCACGACGACGCCACCTCATGAGTCACTGTTTGGGCCTCTCATTGGGCCCAACACAGTCTTTATATAGGCCTAGCTAGCTCCTAATTAGGTTGGCCCAAATCCAAACCCAATTACGTGCTAACTACGATTCCTAAGACATTTACTAAGCTAAAGAAGTCCCCATGTCTTGGTTTCTTCCGGCGATCTTCCGGCGAACTTCCGACGATCTCTCGGTAATGTTCTGGCGGACTCCCAGCAAGCTCCTAGACTTCACAACGATCTTCTTGGCGAGTTCCAACGAGCTTCTCTAGTAAGCTCCGAGACTTCTCGACTGGTTCCGCCAGAACTTTTGACGAAGGTCCAAACTTCCGACGAACTCTCGAACTCCCAATGAAATCGCGTCCTTGACTGCCAAACTTCATTTTGCTTCATGCCTTGCTATCGTAGTTAATCCTGCACATGTAAAAACATACTTCGATATACACAATTAATACTAAACATTAATCATATTGTCTGGCATATCATTGGTCCCTCGACGCTTTGTCCGATTTTTTAGCGCATCGTCCTCTCTTGCGGCCTATTGCCCAATTGGCTAGTTGACTCTGCAACTCCGATATCCTTGGCGCATATCCACTCTTCTTGGATCGATGCCTGAAATGGCTTGAAGCCTTCTGTCGATACGTCGACCGATTCTTCCTGCTTTAATTGTCTCATCCTGATCGAAGCATCCTGTGTCACTCAAAACGCATATTAAAACATAAACACTTATCAATTGATTTAATGATCAAAATATGAGATTCAACACATATATTGTCAAGACCCATGAGTCATCTTTAAAAGTATTATCAATGCATTTAGGCTTAATTTAAGATAAAAAAAAAATAATATTTACATAAATATTTTTTAATAAAAAATGAGTTTGAATATTTTTTAATATGTTTTCAATAATTAGCTCCTTAGGATATGCATCTACATGCTTCTATTTCTTGGATAAAGTTTCTTTAGAAGTAGAGGTATCCAAATTGCTTCGAGAAGAAGAGTTCTCGTTCAAATTCAATTTATCAAATTCAAAATCATCATCAAAATTATTTTTCTTAACTTTGAGAGATTCATTAAAAACAACATGAATAGATTCCTTAATAACTAAATATCTTTTATTAAAAACTCGATAAACCTTAGAGATAGAAGAAAATCTGAGAAAAATATCTTTATCGAATTTTGTATCAAATTTTCTTAAGGCATCATTTTCATTTAAAATAAAACATTTACATTCAAAAACTCTAAAATATAAAATGTTAGGTTTTTTTATTATTCCATAATTCATATGAAGTTTTAGATAGCTGAGGTCTTATACGAACTCTGTTCATGACATAGCATGTCGTGTTTGCAGCTTCGGCCCAAAAGTATTTATATATATAGGCTATGTTTATTAAGCATGATTATTGCCATCTCTTGTAAGCTCATATTCTTTCTCTTAACAACTCTAATTTCTTGTGGATTTCTTGGAGTGGAGAAATTATGATCATACCCATTCATATCACAAAATTTTTTAAAATCATGATTTTAAATTCACCACCATGATCATTATGAATAAAAAAATCATAAAGCTTTTTTTATTTTAAACTTATTTATAAAATTTGATAAAATATTTAAAACAATCATTTTTATATGCTAAGAAGTATGTTCAAGATACATATCTACTACAATCATCAACAATCACAAAAGTGTATTTACTACCTCCTATGCTTGTGACATCAATAAGTCCAAATAAATCCATGTGAATTAGTTGTAAGGGTCTAGAGGTACTTAGTTTTTAGATTTGGAGCTACTCTTTCTTTGTTTTCCTAATTGGCTCACATCATAAATTTTATTTTTAATAAATTTAATTTTTGGCATTCCTCTTATAAGTTCTTGAGTTTCAATTTGTGAGATCAATTTCACACTAACATGCCCTAGTCTTTCATGTCAAAGCCATGCATCACCATTCAAAAATAAAAAAGTAAATTTCTATTGGAAAATTTGGGATGACATCATATGTGCAGCGGAAGAACAAAAAATAAAATTCCCAGAATTTCTCGCATAAAAGAAGGTTTTATTGTCGTGCGAAGATTGGTGCGCAAAAACCCACGAAACAAAAAAAACCATACATGTTAAGGGATGTGTGTTATCTAGGGAGATCGTATATCCCTAAAATCCTACATCCCTATAGGAGAGGATGAAGGAAGTCAACTATCCTCCTCTCTAGTGGTGATTCATATGACAGGGGTTGCGAAGATGTTCCTTAAATCACTGCATAGATCTCCTCTTCGCACACACCACACAATCAAGAAGGGGCTAGTCCTTCTTGCTATCCATATGCCCTAAATAGGTGCTGCTGGTTGAGGAGGAGAAGAGGAGAGGAGTATAGGAGGTGGCAACCAAAAGGGGTCTAGCCTATGATCTTTTGGTTCCCTCCTATTTATATAGGTCTCCTATCAACTTAACCATAATGAATCCTACCCTATTGGGTATTGGATCTCCATCCAACTACCCAAGCCTCTTAAATTAGTGGATCTTTATATAATAATTTCTCATTGGCTCTTATTAAATCTCATCTATAAGATCCAATAATTCAATGGCTTATTGGATATCCAATAATTCAATGGCTTATTGGATATCCAATAATTCAATGGCTTATTGGATATCCAATAAGATAGAGCCTCCAACGAATATCTCATATCTGAATCTCTACTCGTCGCAAAACCTATCATATGTGTGTGACCCTCTAGGCCAAATATCGAGTTGACTGTGTATTATACATATCAGAACTCTTTCTGGCTTAATGAATTATTATCTCCATATAATTCACTCGACTCATCGACTACAGACGTATTAAGCCACTACGTCGCAATCCCTAGACGATATAAGGAAATATAATCCATTGGATATGTCTATCCTCAGTTATCGTGTATCTATAGTCCCTCATCTATCTAATATCTCAAAGATTGTATTTCGAGCATAATATTATTAGGCTCATACGATTTTTGCTCGAGTCTTGCTCTAATTAAATTCTCTCACAGAACTCTTTCTCTCTCAATTCGAATGACCTTGGCAAGGGATTTGCCTAAGCAAGAACATAAGAGATATTCCTTTCATGACACTAAGAATGAATGATCCTATATCGATACTCAATAGCCCTCGTAAGGTTCGTTGCCACTCTCGATGATCGATTGTGTTATATCTGAAACTTTCAAGCCTATAAGTCTAGTATCAAAGAGTAGAGTACTCATACAGGACATCCGTGTTTCAAGTCTAATACACCATTAGGATTACGGAGTCCCTATCTGACAATGAGGTATCATCAATCATTCACCATTCCGTGAGTAGATCGATCAGTGAACTCATTTTCCAATGAGCACCTAAATTGTATCCCCAATGTCCCAACATGAGGAACTATAAGACCAATTGCCTCCATCGTATGGAAAAGTATACAACACACTAGTTTATCCGATTATCTCGATGTCTCTCTAGAGTATCCTACGACCAGGATTATTTAGGATCTCTGTTTAAAGACGAATTGATATCATTATCATGATCTCATCATGATCTGATTTTCATTACACAGATATATGAACATCACAATATATACAATAAATAATATAAAGTGAAAAAAAATACTAAATAAATAATAAGTAAAAAAGAGTACATATCATGTTGTATGTGTCATCGCTCACGTGATTGGGTTGCAAAGTACCTATAACTAGCAATCTCCCACTTGACACCTACGTATTTGATTTGCATTGCAAAGATAATTATTGATAGAAATATTAAATATGCTCTGTTGCAGTTATAGATGGCAAAGACAAAAATCCCTCAAAGTTATCATTATCATGATCATCTATCAACATCTATCTAGTTAAAGTCTAATAAAAGAAATTAAATATGCTCTTTGCAGCTGTAGATGGCAAAGACAGAAATCCCTCAAAGTTATCATTATCATGATCATCTATCAACATCTACCTAGTTAAAGTATAATAAAAGAAATATTTAACATGCTCTGTTGCAGCTGTAGATGGCAAAGACAGAAATCCATCCTTAACTCGAAACATTACTTTTTAACTGCAAGTGTGCCAGATAAGCAATAAGATTCATGTCAAACCCCCTCATCAAACACTTTATAGATTTACAAGATAAGCAATAAGCAACTTAATATGTAAAGCCATCTCATGAGTATCTAACCTCCTCTTCATAGTGACCAGACACGAGGAGATTGATCTTGTTAACTGACAGTCTTTTTCCACATGCACCTTTTATTGGAATCAATTTCAACAGAAAATATAAGCACCTCTGTCTGTATCAGCTGGCCTGAAGCCAGATGGAAGCATGGTTCTAGGAATCACAAAACAACATGGAAACAATGCACTAGAAATGGAGTTCTCTTTCTCCAATGACCAGCTCATTATGTTAAGAATAACATGCCTGAAAGCAGCATGCTGAGCTTGGAAAGATGATTGCTACATACGACAAAAGGAACAACAGCGATTTCAGTTGCAGCGAGCAACTTCCTCAATCACTTAACAATGCAGATCTTTATGACAGAAGCAACACCGATTCGGTGGAGTGCAACAACAGAATCACCTGGTTTGCAAAGCTGTCTCTCCACTGCTGACTTGAGTGCGGCATGAAGGATCACCTCTGTTGACTCAGAATCCGTAGCCTTAGCAGAACCTTCTGCAAGTAATGGAATAAGTCCTCTATAAATGAGACTTTGCCTTGCGGGTGATTCATCACTGACAGACCAGTCGAATGAATCTGTGGTCAGCACAGGAACCACAACTGAAAGGATTGGAACTCTTGGTCGATATTTAGCAACCAATTTGGCTGTGGTTCCACCACGAGTCAAGACTACAATCAACTGGGCCTTGGCTTTGTTCGCCGTCTGGACAGCCGAAGATGCAAGACTCTCCAGTGGGCTCATGGGCAGAGGAGTAGACCTTATCATCTCCTTAAAAATGGCCTCATAATCTAAGGAGGACTCAGCCTCGACACATATCCTGGCCATAATCTTCACTGCCAGCTCAGGATAAGCACCAGCTGCACTTTCACCACTGAGCATGACACAATCTGTGCCGTCTAGAACAGCATTTGCAACATCTGTAGCTTCAGCACGTGTTGGACGGGGGGACTTGATCATTGATTCAAGCATTTGGGTGGCGGTGACAACAGGCTTTCCGAGAAGGTTGCATTTGTATATCATCATCTTTTGAGCAAGAAATATCTTCTCAACAGGTATCTCCATCCCAAGATCACCTCGAGCAACCATGAAAGAATCTGTCTCCTTCAAGATCTCATCGAAATTGATTACACCTTCCTGGTTCTCAACCTATACATACAAATAACAAGAAGATGAGATTTCGATGGTTCGACAACTCAGCAATTTTTTTGCAATGAAAATTCTAAAGTATAAAAAGAACATCAAACTCAAAATATCTACAAATCATCAGTTTAAGGACCTATGAGAAAAATGCTCAAGGAGCTCTATGCCGAAAGAAACTAAGGTGAACATGTATACACACAAAAAAGAAGGAAAAAGAAAAACATATGGCATACTAATTTGTATGGGTTACTTCAGCCAATGCAAACACTGTACCAACAGGCCTTCAGAAGCAACCCAGCCATATAGGATTGGCTCCATGGATCTTATCCCATCTTTATCTACGTGAAAGCATGATGCATATCTTATACCAACAATAAAAAGTGAGCAAGATCCATCCTTTGGAGATTCTGTAATGATAGTCCAATATTCAAATGATCAATGCTTTACAAAGTGTTGGAATTATGAAAAAAGATTAATGAAATTATGAAACTCATTTGTTAAAAAATTTAATGGATAGGAAAGAGTCTTTTGACTTATAAATTAGTATGCAGACAATCTGAAAGGTGCAGATCATCTTGAACATTTTGGATAGTCAATTTATAATTCCCTCATATTAATCTTGAGTTATTGAATTCACTATGCAATCAATGTCTACTCGGTGATCCATAAAACAATAAGCAGGCAAGAAGCAGACACCCCAGTGGCCTCAAGAAGTCAAAATAACAGCCGATGGGGGCATGATCATTCTGACTAGAACTAGGTTGTCCTTGAGGCCTTTTTTCTTACTGGGAAATGCATTTGTGCTTCTGAAATATTAATGTTGTTGCAGACAAAAAAAAACACACCTTCGACATCAGCTTTATGTGTCTTGCATATGGCCCAAGAAACTGACGAACAGTAACAAGATCCGACCCCTTGCGCACAAATGATACAGCAATCATATCAATATTGTTTGGAACACCCCACCCCATGATGTCTTCCTTATCTTTCTCAGTCAGTGTGGGGAGATCAACCACAACACCTGGAAGATTAACATTTTTCCTCTCACCTAATGTTGCTGTGTTCTGGCAACGGCATCTCACAGTCCCAGCATCCGGGTCGCATGACAGGACAGTCAAGGTTATGGTACCATCAGCACACAAAATAGTATTTCCAGGTTTTACATCTACAGGAAGCTTCTTGTAACTCATAGAAATCATGTTCTCATCGCCCTTGATGCTGTAATCAGTGGTGACTGTAACTTCTTGACCTTCCTTAAGTTTGATTGGTTTTCCATCCTTCAGGAAGCCAGTACGAATCTCGGGACCCTGTGATGACACAGTAAGAGGCAGGAAAAAAATGAATTTACATGCAAGAAAAAAAAAAGAAAAACATAATAATTAAATGAATTTGCATAACATAATTTAAATGAATTTGCATGATAACGTAGATACTTCAGGGGCCTGACAACATAAATGAATTTGCATGCAGGAAAAAAAAAGAAAAACATAATAATTAAAATCTAATATAGACTTAAGAATTAGCATGATAGACACACAAATTACTTCTATATCTGAGGATTGTTTCTTCAGGAAATGATGCTGCATACATGGTTTAGGTTCTTGGTGTGGTGTCTACATAAATTTACATATATAAGTAATTACCCACATACATAGATGTTTCCACTTGTTTAAATATTTTGTGAAAGTGGCACCTTGATCCAATCTCAGAAGACCAATTTGAACACATGATGGCACCTTGATTCACTCTCAAAACACCAATTTGAACGTGATTCCTTCCAGGTGAGCGATTGGCTCTGTTTGGAAGTTGTAGGACCTGGCTTTGTTTCAAAGTTACACCTTGCAACATGCAGGGACGACCAATTTCCTTATGGAAGGATCTAGACAATCTTTAATACATATATAAACTACAAAGTAAAGCATCATCTGAAAAATGAAATAATCAATCACTGACTAAAATATAGCAACAAGGATGGCGAATGGACACTCCAGCTCTTGATGTTGTTGAAATAGCAGTGGTTGAGTTCTGAAGAGAAGGGGAAAATAATATATTGTTCTTAAAACTATCATATAAAAGCATCAGTGACACCACCAGATAAATTGACAAGCAAAACAGAAAAAACAAAATCCATATAAACAATTAATCAAATCAACTGGCAAAAAGTGTTTAAATTTCAAATAACCTGTAAGCTTGTCAATTGTACCGACTTCTTCTTTCGATCTCCATAAATAATGGAGAAGAAATCCATGTTATAAATGTGGAACTAAAAACTTGCCCCTAAACTGTATGGCAACAAGATGAGACCAGTGGATGAAGCTATTAGAGAAATAAATATCAGTATTGATGGAAGGTTTTTTGAACAATAATTTGTAAATCTTTTTCACAACCCATTTCTACTTATTAGAATTTTGCTGAATAAGGAATTCGACAAAAGATTCACATGGAAATCCTCTCACGAGTTTAAAAGGTCATTGCATGACCTTAAAGGCATTCAGAAGAAAAGAACTGACAAAGTGGAAAAGAAATTTTAAGAAATAAAACTTTGATAGAAGGTTTTTTGCATATTGACATTCAAAAGTAATTGGTTTCTATTAGCATTTGAGTGAAAAGAAAAGAATGAAACTTCTCTGCAAACAGGTTTAGCCACTGTCACAGCTGTCCATAACAGCACAGTTAATTAGCATAAGTTTGTCTGTTGATGAAGAACTCAAACAGTTGAATACAAGCTTACTACTGTATCTGTTATGCAGATTAGAGGAAAAATTATATAATTTAAGCAAGCAGAAAAAATTAAATGAATGTATTTGGTGTCACGGCTCAAATCTGTAAATATACTAGCCAATTTCGGATCTTACCTGAGGAACGATATATTATATCTTTTTTTCTCATTTTCGTTGTTTTTTTTTTTGGAGGCCCAACTGTTAACATTTATGAAATGTAGAAGTGAAATAAAAGTTTCAGCTTATCGAGCATAATCTTAAAACAAAAAAAAGAATAAAAAACAAAAAACAGCGGGAAAAAGGACTGAGACGGAATATGATTGTTGTCGAGCAGTAATTGGTTTAGCAACACGCATATGATGATCTACCAGAAGCTCTTATAATCAAACATTTTCTGCAAAATAGTCCAAAATTTGACTAATAATCAGCTGCAATAAAAATGAATCGGAAGCTAAAGATGGTCAGAGAAAACAAAGGACCTTGGTGTCGAGCATGACGGCGCACAATATCTGGGTGTTCTGCATGGCGATCCTAAGGTTGTCGATGGTCTCCTGGTGGTACTCATGGGTTCCATGCGAGAAGTTGAACCTGGCGACGTTCATGCCAGCTCTCAGCAGCTTCTCCAACATCGGCACCGACCTGGATGCCGGCCCCAGCGTGCATACAATCTTCGTCTTCGGCACCCGCCCATCGTTGGGCAGCTCCTTCAAGATCCCATCGATGTCGATGTTCGCCATGGATCCTAGCGACCAAAACAAACCATAATAACCACAAGGAAAGACCTACTTAATAGATCAAAATCATGACGAACCAACAGAAACCGATCGGAAGCAAAGATTCAAGACAGGCGAACAAAAATGAAAAATCACACTGAAAACACATCGATCTAGAGGAAGATGGAGTGTTTCAGACTCAGATGAGAAGGATCGGGATGCATTCTCAGAGATCAAACAGATCGGCGTTCAGATCTTGAGCTGATCGGCGCTCTTCAGAAAAATACCGAGCTCATCACATATCAAAAACGAGAGAAGACTGAGAGTTAGAAATCTGACCTAGTTTTTCGGAATTCTACTCCGGCCTCGCTTCTCCTCCCCCTCCTCTCGAGTTGAAGGAATTCAGGTCAGCGATGCGCACAGCGTCGGTGACTTGGGAAAGAAGACGCGGCATTAAATATCTCTCGCGAGAAACCGGGACTGGAGGAGGAATCGCGATTCACCCCTCCCACCATCGAGCTACCACGGTTCGATGCGATGGAATATTCGCCCATGTCGGCCAGCGAGAGCCGTCCGATGAGACTCGTCCCGACATGATGCGGTGATTTGTGTCGTCGATCCCACGTGACTCAGAAACCGACGGGCGGGCCCACGGTGTGCTTGCGCAGCGGCGAGTCGTCCACCAATGGCAGCGTGCCACCTCATGGTGTTGGGACATCATTGGACTTCTATTATATACACCATGGTAATAAATAGCCAGCAGATTCGTGTCAGTTACCTATGTGGTTTAGATTGCGGAAAACTCTCCCCAAAAAAAACACTATTTCTTTTATTTTTTATTACAGAGCTTTGTTTTTTTTTTTTTGCTTGTCATTTCCCTCTTTTTGTATCAACCCGTTACGTGTAATTTTTTAATATAAATATCCAAAGGTGACTATGAACGAAGAGTTATTTTTATATGTTTTAGGTATTAGTTCAATTCTTTGATCAATGGAAGACTCAATATGATTTTTTTTAATATAAAAAGATTGATGAGAAATGCGATCACGCCACATTAAAAAGATAACAAGTCCGCATTGGTTACTAGAGAACTAGAAAGCGAGCCATCTTATTCTATTATTATACACACCTATACATCATAGGTAGGATATTTTAAGCTTCTATTGAACATTTTGGTCAAAAGTACCAAAAATGTCCTTCCATCTTTCACCGGCAACCCACCACCATTGATTGCACATCACCCTCGCCCCTACTCTCACCAAATATTACGATCCTCCGTCGTTCTCTTTATCTTCGTGTTGGGAAATATTATTATAGCGAAATAATTTTTTTCCTCTTTGTATATTAAAATAGGTTCTTTATCAAAATATCAACTTGTTATCAAAAGTAAATATTAACTAGAGTAATATAAATAGTAGAATAATGAATAAATCACAAAGTGAGATACCAAATTTTTTATGTGAAAAACCTAATGTAAGAAAAATCACGGAACCATAGTCCATTTTTAACTTTCACTATCATCAATAATGATAATAAGTTTACAATAAATCTTCTCTAAAATAACCAAATGATCAAAATAACATCAAGAACAACTCAACATTAACATATCATCATCACCAATAGATTTTATGAAAAGAAAGATTTAGATCTCACCAAGTGGGTATAGCTAAAAAGTACCTTAAAAAGGATAAAATGTAGATCGGTACCGTTAGGATTGTAAAGCTTATTGCAAAGATTTTTTACATAAAATTTAAGTCAAAACCGATAAAGTTTAGCCACTTGATCATCTAGCAAAATCCTCAAAACCTTAACTTTCTCTCTTTGTTCCTTTTCTCTGCGTCACCACTGTTTGCTGCATGTTTGCGCATGCTACTTCTTTTTCTATTTTTTTTTCTTTTTTTAAAGAGTCAGATTTCGGTTCAATGCTTAAATCAATTGGTCCAAGCTCACATATGGGCTGGACCAAATAATTCTTCCCCTCCAACTCACATAGTGGGATATACTAAGCTCGTTCTTCGCCTACATACTTCAAACTTCTCCTTAGGCAAAGACTTTGTCAATATTTATGATCTATTCTCATTATTATATACTTTTTCTAAGTACAATTCTTTCATCTCAAGCACATTACGAATCCAGTGATATCTTACATTAATATGCTTGGATCTAGAATGATATATTGAATTATTGGAGAGGTGAATGATACTTTGACTGTCATAGTAAACAGTATATCCTTCTTGTTTCAAGTCTCATTCCTGTAGAAACTTTTTCATCCATAAAGCTTCTTTGCAGGCTTCAATAATTGCTATATATTATGCTTCTGTGATTGATAGAGCAATACAATTCTATAACTTAGATTGCCAAGAGATTGCTCTATTAGGAAAGGATCGACACTGAGAAGGAGGGGGGGTGTGGTGGGTAAATTAGTACAGCGGTAAAATCACATCTTCAAAAACCTTCATACGATTAAAATCGATTTCATAAAGTTGTTAACTTGAAATTGTACGAAAACATAGTGAAGGAGGAATTCAATTTGCAATAAAGATAAATAGCAAGAAGTAAATGCAAACCAGATTTTAGAGTGATTCGGTCATCGTGACCTATATCCACTTCATCGATTCCTCTTCTGTCGAGGTCACCGGCACCCATTATCGATCTTCCTTTAATAGGCGAAGATCAACCTCCTTCTTACACCCCTCTTCTCCTTTTACCGGGTTTAGGAGATAACCCTTACAAGCACTCACTCCTCTCTTACAGAATTCTAAACTTAGAGTAGAGGAGAGAATTTCTCAAGAGATTGCAGTAGTGTTTTCTCACTTTTAAATTCTCTATGCTTATGTAAGTTAACCAGGGATGAGAAGGGTATTTAGAGGCTTTAAGTTGATTAAAACTTGGAGCCTAAAAAGGTCTCATCCCAAGTTTCTTGGGTATTGGCGGTACCACCGCCATTCCTGTACGGTACTATCGTCGTAGGATCTGGTACTAAGCGGTACCATCGCTGGCAATATTGCTATCGACGGTACCACCACCTAGGTTTCCTGGGTGCTATTCCCTAGGTGGTGCCATTGTTGGTCAGGGTTTCAGCACCTTGGTTAGGCCTTGAATCTGGCCCAAACCAGTCCAACTTAGGGCCGAGTTGGCCCCTAACAGAGTTGATGAGATTACCTCCCAATCCTAACTCCAATTATGTGCTAACTATGATTCCTAAGACATAATCTAAGCAAGATAAGTCTGGTTTCTTCTAGCGAGTTTCCGACGATCTTCCGGTGAATTTCCGACGATCTCTCGGTAATGTTCCCGCGGTCTCCCAACAAGCTCTTGGATTTCACAACGATCTTCTTGGCGAGTTCCGACGAGCTTCTTTGGCAAGCTCCAGGATTCTCGGTCAGAACTTTCGACGAACTGTCACGGACAAACTTTGAAACAGGATGTTTGATATAATGCCTATGTATGTTCGTGTCTTTTGGTATGTTCATGCTTTGTACAACATGTAGAGGGACGGCCGAAGGCTTAATAGTCCCATTTTAGTTGGGTTGGTGGCCGCTTTAGGCTTGTAAATAAAGGTTGTGTCATGTGGACACGTGTGAGAGATTTTTGGTCTATAGTAAACCATTTTACCCTTTGTTGTGCAACTGTTTAGAGCTTGTAAAGTCTGTTTGTAATTTGCATTGTCTATGAAGTGTTTTTCAGAAATTTTTGCTTGTGGATCCCGAAGGAGCCATTTTCTCTAACTCGTTCTCTCTTTTGTGGGTCCTAAGGGACATGGGAGGCTTCGGGGAGGCTGACCTTTGCAGACGGACATGCAAGGGTGCCGCACGACTTAGGCAAAACCAGCTAAGTCCGTGACAGATGGTATCAGAGCGGAACAAGCACTCATAGAAACACTTAGCATGCAAACGTGGGGGACCTAGCGGGGCTGCATTGTGGGCAGTCAGCACACGCGCGACCGTTTGGGGGAAAACGGGCATGGAGATGTAGGAAAAAGGAGTCGCTCAGAGGAGCGGGCATCTGAGATTGGCATTCAGAGGAATGGCCAATCCTTCGCGCAAGAGGTACCATGAGAACAAGCATGCTTGGAAGAATGCGGAGCGTACAAAGGTTGGGATGGTTGAGTAAAAGCTACAGCTCAATGTTGACAACTATACTTGATGGTGCTCAAGGCAAGCCAGGCGCTTGGTAAAGGATTAGACCATGCAAGGTGGAATGAGTTGCTCAGCGATTGTAAGAGTTGTGCAAAGCTCACAGAGGTGAGGGGAATTGCTAACTCAAAGAATTCGGTACTCATACATGGGCTTATATGCGGACGATGGAATGTTCGCGGCCATCCCAAGGCGACCAAAACTCGGCGCCATGGAGCATTGAAACTTTCTCTTCGGCATGTGAAGGATACATCCATAGGAGGTTGAAGTGTGCAATGAGTTCAGCATGTTGCTAGGCCTTGAGGGGTGCAGCGGGGGCTGTATTGATGTGGATTCGTAATCTAGCAAGTGCGTTTGCAAGAGGCAGACCAATGCACAGTTTGTTCAGCAAATCGGAGTAGTCTAAGGGGATGGTGGTCTTCGAAACGAAAAGAGATATTGCTCCAATGGGACAGTTATCTAGGAGAGATAAGTCCCGGCTCTCCAGAGGGAGAATCATGTGGGATGAACCTCACATGTTGAGGAGGAATACCTCAACAAACAACAACTCCACGAAGCTCAATGGACTGATTAAGCGGCGAGGAGTCGTCGCTTGAGAGAATGCATTGGTGGATGCATTGCGAGATCAAGTGGGGGAGCGACCCAAAGTAATACAAATGAAGGTACACTTGGAGTCGATATGAGATCGGATTCAAGGGAGGGCTGACCCGTGGAATAGTGGGCGCGAGGGCCACCATCAACTCAATGCAAAAACGAGGAGCGAAGCAACTTGGGTGTAACTTGGCAAAGTACCCAAGCTGCATGAAGGGAGCCAGCATAGAAGATGAAACATGGAGCGGAGACACAATGCTTTCCTTGGATAGAGGTCAAGGACATGAACTCTTGTAGAGGCAAGAGCAGGATTATGTTGTTCCATAGGTCCTTCATTCTGACGGAGCAGACTCATCTTGCATGGTGCCAAAGACGAAGGGAGCTTTTAGGCACATGCACATTATCTCGGAAAAGCATGTGATGGAGAAACTAAGACGACTCAATTTGCAGAGGCGAAGTTGGGTTCAGAAGGCCTTAGCACGGGACAAGAGGACGCAGAGGCGGGTACTCTTGAAGAATATGCCATAGTGTTGCCATTCAAGTTGCCATGAAGGAAGCGGTGCGCAGCGAAGATTGTTCTGGTATGGGCAGAGGCCCAGGATCCAAACAATGGTGCACTAATTGCAGTGAAGTCGGGGGACTTCGGGAGCTACTAGGCGACAGACTGTCCTAGAGCGGTGCTTCATCTAGGTGTGACTCAAGAGTGGGTGGATGAAGGTCGATTGCTAAAGGAGCGAACAAAAT